AATGCAGATAAACGGTTTGTTGCATCTTAAATTCATGTTTAACACAGCCACCAGGTTATATATGTAGTCAGTTTCACAAGTAAGGTAAATTTTAGAATGTACATGGTAATGAAAAAAGAGAACAAAAGGAAATGTGTTGAGAACATTTGGGTGTAGTTTTTCTTCAGCATGGAGGTTTATGGGAAATAATTTTTATTTGTTAAGTAAAAGACACTGGTCTCAAAGGTTAATCCCTAGTTATGTCCTCCTGCCTCAGCCTTCCAAGTAACTGGGACTACTGTCTCAGAAAAACAAATAAAAAAAAACCTACAGAGGACTGCCTGGATTGCTAAATATATAAAGAAATTACAGGCCAGGCGCGGTGGCTCACACCTGTAATCCTAACACTCTGGGAGGCTGAGGCGGGCGGATTGCTCAAGGTCAGGAGTTCGAAACCAGCCTGAGCGAGACCCCCGTCTCTACTATAAATAGAAACAAAATTAATTGGCAACAAAATATATGAAAAAATTAGCCAGGCATGGTGGCGCATGCCTGTAGTCCCAGCTACTCGGGGAGCTGAGGCAGTAGGATTGCTTGAGCCCAGGAGTTTGAGGTTGCTGTGAGTTAGGCTGACTCCACAGCACTCAACTCTAGCCTAGCAACACAGTGAGACTCTGTATCAAAAAAAAAGACTGTAACAAAGTACCACAATTGGGTGGCTTAAATAGCAGAAATTTACTGTTGCCCAATTCTAGAGCTATTGTCTGAAGTTACGGTGTCACCAGGGCCATGCTGCTCCCTCTGAGACTCCAGGGAAAGGATCCTTCCTTGTGTCTTTCTAGCTTCTGGTGGTTGCTGCGATAATAAAGGTTTGTTGCATCTTAATTCATGTTTAACACAGCACCAGGTTATATATGTATCATGTTCACAGGTAAGGTAAATTTTAAGAATGTACATGGTGTGAAAAAAGAGAACAAAAGGAAATGTGTTGAAACATTGGGTGTAGTTTTCTTTCAGCATGGAGGTTATGGGAAATAATTTTTATTTGTTAAGTAAAAGACACTGGTCTCAAGGTTAATCCCCTAGTTATGGTTACTCATTTGGGTAGATGTTGGGTAGAGGACGCATTTACTTGTACTTAAGATATTTAATATGTTAATACTCTTTCATTTCTATTTTTGTCTTTTAGGAAGCAATCATACAAATAATGAAAATGAGAAAGAAAATTAGTAATGCTCAGCTGCAGACTGAACTAGTAGAAATTTTGAAAAACATGTTCTTGCCACAAAAGAAAATGATAAAAGAGCAAATTGAGTGGCTAATAGAGCACAAATACATCAGAAGAGATGAATCTGATATCAACACTTTCATATATATGGCATAACTTTGAATATCATCGACAATATTAAGAACCCAAATTTTGGAGTGCTTGGGCAGAAAGTTGTAACAGTTTGTGCTGGAGAAAGGTTTATTTGGACTTTGATTACATAAATATTAAAATCTCTGCCTTACCTTACAAAACAACTATATTTTGCCAATCACATTAGTTAGCATGATGGCATTCCCTTCATGTTGCACACTCTTTAACAGCATGCTGTTTTGTGGAGAAACTTGCATTCATGAAGAGCCCATTATGAACTTTTAAAAGTAAATTTGATTTATACCCACCAGGAGAAATACAGTTGGGAAGGGTGAGGGCGGGGTTCTTGTTGCTTTTTTTCTCTTTTTTCCTCTCTTAGAAAAATGTACTTGCACATGGAAGGATTTTCAGATATTCATGCACTGAAAAATGCTGTTATCTTTTGTTTTAAAAAAATGCAATTAAAACTAGAAATAGTACTGTTGGTTTCTTTTGATGAAAAGAGTGAGCTGGTCAACACAACATTGGGAGAGGGCAGATGTGTGAAGATAAGTATTTTAGGGTATCAAATTGTTTGTTCAGACACTGCTTCAGTATAATAACTGGATTTTAATGGTGACCTAAAAATGGTATTAAATATTTCTAACTTACAAATGTTGGTTTTCTTTAAGCAGGAGACTGCTGTTTTATTTGTTTGTTGTTAAATGATGAGTTTTTTAAAAAATCTTATATGGCTGGACAGCTTGTTTGAAAAAGTGAAGCTTATATTGTTGCTTCAATTGTTTAAAAAAAATGTGTGGAGATAGGTCATTATGATTGCAGAGTCAAATAGCAAAACAAACATATTAAGTGTGTTTGGTAACACACTTAATATATTTATATACCTAATATTTATTATGCCATATCTAAAGTTATTAAAAACAATGCAGAGATCTCCTGCTCTGATACGGTGCAGTTATGTAATTGATCTCTTAATCTGTAGCGTAGAACTATTTTGGTATTTTAAAGTCTCATGATTAGGGATTTATAGCCTCAGGTTTCTGGAAAGAAAGACATTTTCTTTTAAAAGGTAATAATTAAGTATCAGTCACCTACGAGGAAGAGAAAAACCACAACATAAGACCTGAATAGCATAAGCAAAATTGTTGCAATCTTAATATGAGCAGTAAACTTGCCAAATATATGTACATATATATTTATATATTTTAAAAATAAACATTTTTAAAATGTTCAGAAGGCAACATTTACCATGTTCCTTTCAGTCAATCCAAAGTAGCAACGTATTAGTTGCTGGCAACTGAATAACCCAGAGTAGTGGAAATTTTAAGACTTGAAGACTTGAACAATTTAAAACAGAAAAATTTATTCCCCATTGGGAAAGAATGCCTCAACATGGATTTTTACTCATTGTGGTGCACATTTCAAATTTTCTTGCAAATTATTTTATATCTTGTTTGGTGTTAAGTAATATTTTTAAAATATGGTTTTGAAGATAGTAGGAAATGGAGTACGGAAAGGCATACAGTATTATATGATAGCAGAGTGCTTTTAGGAGCATTTCATGGAACCTGTCACCAATCCCAAGAGGCTTTGTGAGCTGCTTGCCTGAAAGGAAGGAAAGTAAATTTAAAACACTTAAGGTTTTGCTGATTATAGTTAAATGCCTGTACTGAAACTCATAGGAAATTGGAATTTTGTTTATAATTTAAGATCTTATGCTGCTTCTTTAAGGTAGCATATGTCAATTAGTAGACCAAGCAAAATGCTTGTGATGAATTAAACTAAAATTAGTGCTCACTGTTTTCTCTAATTAGATGACTGCTAACAATGGATACATTTGAAATTTAGAAGAAATAATTTTGTAGTAATAGTGGCCCTTATGTTTAACAAATAGTTTGGTATTGGCATATTTCCTTGTTCCAATACAAGAATGCCAAAGGAGGAAACATTGGGAGGAAAAATTACAGGCCATTTTTTAAAATTTAGGATGTGTTATTTTGAACCATAATTGTTCTCAGTACTTCTTGGGAATTTCTAATCTTTTTGCTCATTTAATTTAAGAATGAGAGCCATGACGTTTTGATTTATAAAGGCAAATTTAATTCAAAAGTGGGTAGGTAACACTAAATCCATAGAAAGTTTTCTATTAAATTTTATAAATTTTTTAATAGCTAATTATGTCCTAATTGTATTTTGGGGATTGAACAGCAGAATATACTGTAAACTTACAGTTTTCATCACTTTTGTTTGTTATATATACAAAAGTTTAACTACTTTTTGGTATTTATGGAAACCATTTAGTTGACAAGGTGCCTGTATTATTGAATTTTCTTTAAATACTTTGACAGTAGATTTGCTAATTTAAAAAAAAAAAAAGGAATGAAAAAATCTTACTAGCAATTTGCTAAAGGTTCAGAATCACAGTTAATATCCTTTATCAGGTCTCTTGTCTCTACGTGTGCACTTAAAATTAGTGCTATACGAGCAGGGATGAAACCTGACATAGTTAAGGGAAAAGAAAATCCCCACCCCAAAATATACACATATATATTTAATTTTTTTTTTTATGAGTAGCATGGTAATAGGATGCTTCAGAGGTTAACTTAAGCTTTGAACATTCACCTAATTTAAAGATGGAAACATCTGGACAACGTTAACCTTGTTGCCATCTCATTGCCAGATTAAGTAGACATGAAATAAAATTTACAGAGTGAAAATATACAACAATTTTGATGCTTACAGTGGGATAAGTATTAGAACATTACTGCTCCAGTGATTTAATGAGGATCTTGAAATAAATTCTGAAGTCTTCCAATTTTTACATTTATTAGAGGGGTCCCTGAATTCTGTCAACTTGTTTATTTAAGTCTCTTGCTCTTATTTTGTGCATAAATGTTAAGATTTCCAAAAATGAAATGTTAGTTTTATTTTTACTTTTTATTAAATTTAATACAAAATATGACCTGAATAGTTAAAAGATATTTTGCATTATTTGCAGTAGGATGTCATTAGCCCCACTCAAAGGGCAAATTTTAAAACTTCAATTTGGGTGAAAGATTTGCTAGTTTTACAGAAAGATTTGCTATCTTAAACTCAAGCTGGTTTTTCTATTTTCATGTAAATGACTGGGATGCTGTCTTATAAATTCTTCCAAGGTCATGTTTGTGAAATAAACATTACATGAGAGCTTTCCTGTCATCTACACTATATGTCGTCTGGAGTGTTGAACAAATTTGAGTTCCTAAGTTGTAATCTATCCTCATATGGTCTATACGATTTTGAATGTGTGCCACTACATACTGAGATGATAATGCTGTACAATTTTAAATGGTAGCAGTTTCTGTATGCAGTAGGCTGAAATATTTTGATGAACTGCTTAATTTTTGGATTTTATTTTTTAAGTTGTATAATTTATTTTCTTGCAAAATAAAAATGTAATATAAAAGCTTTCACCTATCCAGAAAATGTTGATGTTCTACTATAAAATAATTTCTGAGTTTAATTAAAATTTGTATAGTAGGTATATTTTTATATTCCAAGGTAAAACATTAATAGTAAATCACAGCCAGCCTTAGGAATCAGATGTATAAAAAGTAACCCACTTATGTTTTTTAGATTCTCAAATTCTAGTTCAAAATAAAGCAATCAGGAATGTAGCTTTTCAACTGATAGCATGTGGCTGTAATACCTGGAAGAGGTCATAAATTTCAAACCTAAAACAGATAATGCATTCGTCAGTTTAGATAGGCCATGTCATAACAAAATTTTGTATCAAATAAAAAATATATAAAAGAAATCATTTCACATTTTGGATATATTTGAAAATTTGTGAAATGCTTATTTCAAAGCTAGTGATAGTGTAAGTAATAAGGTTATGAGGATGGACAGATATGCTCAATAATAGCAGTCATCAGATGAACAATTTAATCAAAAAACTGAATATAGAAAACTTGGAATTGCATATAGGGACTTAATTGCACAGAGGAACTACATTTAAAAGAAATTTAAGGCCAGGCATTGTGGCTCACACCTATAATCCCAGCACTTCAGGAGGCTGAGGCAGGAGGATCACTTGAGGCCTGGAGTTTAAGAGTAGCCTGGGAAATATAGCAAGACCCCAAAATAACCATTCTCTACAAAAATAAAAAAATTAGCTAGGCTTGGTGGCATATGTCTTTTGTCCTAGTTACTGAGGAGGCTGAAGGAGGGGATCCCTTGAGCCCTGGAGTTTGAGGTAGATGCCACTGCCCTCTAACCTGGGTGACAGACCAAGACCCTGTCTCAAAGCAAAACAAAAAAAAAGTCCCAGGTGGACACGCTTGAAGCGCTTACTTGAGGGGGGAGGGGGAGCATGGGCAATATATGTAACCTTAACACTTGTACCCTCATAATACGCTAAAATTAAAAAAAAAAAAAAAAAAGCCCCAAACAGATTTACTGTTAAGTTTAAGCTTTTGGGCCTCCTAACTTGGCACAGGTGCCAAGGTCCTGGGAGGGGCTCTAGGAATTTCATATTTGTATCTTTATATTATTTTTCTTGGAAAAGGTCCCCTAATATCAAGTTGGATCCAGCCCTGCTAAAACAATGCAAAAAAGAAACCTGTCTGGCACAAAGTATGATTAAATGAATGAGAGCCTGTGTACCTGAGAACAGTAGAGTTCAATATTTTAAGTTTTAAATGGGAAGGCTTTATTTCCAATCCCCATTCTAGGCTATACAATCAAATGGACTGTTTATGTCATTGAACTGTTTTGAACAGTGTGCAATCTGGAGCAGAGGTGACGATTGAGAAATCCCAGACTTTCATGAACATCTGATTCCAATTAGAGCAAAAGCCATGCACATAAAGAGGTAAACAGTTCTGTGTATAAGTTTCAAGGGTTCACACACCCAGGACTAAAATTCTTTAATAATGAGGTCTAGAGTGAGTAAAGCAAGTATTAGCTTGCTCTGTGGATTGGTCATGGCCCAATGTCAAGAGTGCTGATGCAGGCCGGGCACGGTGGCTCACGCCTGTAATCCTTGCAGTCTGGGAGACCGAGGCGGGCAGATTGCTCAGGGTCAGGAGTTCAAAACCAGCCTGAGCAAGAGCCAGACCCCGTCTCTACTATAAATAGAAACAAAATTAATTGGCCAACTAAAATATATAGAAAAAATTAGCCAGGCATGGTGGCGCATGCTTGTAGTCCCAGCTACTCGGGAGGCTGAGGCAGTAGGATTGCTTGAGCCCAGGAGTTTGAGGTCGCTGTGAGTTAGGCTGACTCCACAGCACTCAACTCTAGCCTAGGCAACACAGTGAGACTCTGTATCAAAAAAAAAGACTGTTGTAACAAAGTACCACAAATTGGGTGGCTTAAATAGCAGAAAATTACTGTTGCCCAATTCTAGAGGCTATTGGTCTGAAGTTATGGTGTCACCAGGGCCATGCTGCTCCCTCTGAGGACTCCAGGGAAGGATCCTTCCTTGTGTCTTTCTAGCTTCTGGTGGTTGCTGCGATCTTCAGCATTCCTGGGCTCCTCACTGCAGCACTGCAGTATCTACCTCCATCTTCCCTGTCTTCTTACGAGGATGCCGGTCACATTGGATTTAGGGCCCAGCCTACTTCAGTACGATCTCAACTAATTACATCTTCAAAGACCCTGTTTCCAAATAAGGTCACATTTGGATGCTGTGGGTGGATATAAACTTTGAGGGGGATATTTCAACCTCCTACAGTCAACCCTCTGACCCCTAAAATATATTCACCCCACATGCAAAATATATTCACCTCATCCCAACATCCTCAAAAGTCTTAACTTATTTCAGCATTACCTCTAAGTTCAAAATTTCATGTAACTATCAACTCAAAAATTCCCAAATCTCATCATCTAAAATCATGTACATCAGGTATTGGTGAGAATCTGCGTATGATCCATTCTGGGACAAAATTGCAATCTGTTTAAAGCTCGTTGCTTTCGTAAAAAAAGAAAAAAAAAATTGCAATCTGTGCACTTGTGAATTTAGAAAACAAGTTTTCTGCTTCCAAGATACAATGGTGTGTGCTATGGTTTGCATGTATCCCCTTCAAAATTCGTGCTGAAACTGAATCCCCATTGTTGTGGTGTTAAGAGGTGTTTAGGCCATGAGTACTTTGCCCTCATGAATGGATTAATGTCTTATAAAAGGGCTGGAGGGAACTAGTGTAGACTCCTTTTGCCCCTCTGCTCATCTACCATGCAGGGACTGGCAGGAAGATCCTCCCCAGACACCTAATACTGGTGCCTTGATCTTGGAATTCCCAGCCTCCAGAAATGTGAGAAATAAATTTCTATTATAAATTACCCAGTCTCAGGTGTTCTGATAGAGAAACACAAATGGACTAAGGCAGTGGGACAGGCACAGGATAGACGTTTCCATTATGAAAGGCAGAATTTGCAATGAATTAAAGGGGTCATGATCTCATGCAGGTTTGGAAAACAGCAGGGAAAACTTCACTAGTTTTCAAGACATAAATAGTTCTCTGGCTCCATTTGGCCTCAGGCCCAAGGGGGTGCAGTTGGCCCTGGCCTCTGGGCCTGCAGCCCAGCCCCTGTGGCCTCTGCATGCCTGGCTCTGCCCTGGGAGTCAGTCCTTCCTCCTTCAATTTATTCTGTCTCTGTCCCTTTCCATCCAGGCTAGCAGCATTTCTGCTGGTACACAGTTCTCAAAAATCTTGTCAATTTTCTGTGGCTACCAAGGGGATCCACGCCATTGGGCATGAGTGTTCTCCACAGATCCTTCCTGGATAACCCCGTCTCTATTTCTGGCTTCTGCTGAGATGGTTGATTCAATCCTTAAATCACACGCCTAATCTCTTTACAAACATCCAAACACTTGGTGTGCTCTTCAGAGCATACCTTCTTACCCTTTGCAGTATAGTTATGCCGAGAATTGTTCAAATCATCAAGTTCTGGTTCCTTTTTGCTTAGCAGTTCTTACCTCAATCTATCTGTTTTCTCTTGCAATTTAACATACGCAGGGAGGAGACGCCAAGCTTTGTCTTTCATACTTTGTTTGGAAATTTCCTCAGCTAAATATCCAGGTTCATTGCCTACAATTTCTGCTTTCCATCCAACACTGGAACATAGTTCAGCCAGGTTTTCTACCACTTTATGACAATGATTACCTTGTTATAAAAATCTGTGCTTGTTTCCTAAGATTGCTGTAACAAATTACCACAAACTGGTTACTTAAAACCACAGAAATTTATTCTCTCACAATTCTGGAGGCTAGAAGGCCCAAATCCAGGAGTTAGGAGGGTTGGCTCCTTCTGCAATTATGAGGGACTGTCTGTTCTCTCCTAGGGACTGCCATGTTTCTCTCCTAGTTTCTGGTAGTTGCCAGAAATCCTTAGTGTTTCTTCGTTTGTAGATGCATCACTCTAATCTCTGTCTCCATGTCCATGTGTTCTTCTCATCTGTGTGTGCGTGTCTTTCTCTGTGTCCTCTTTTGTTATAAGTATACCAGTCGTTGGATTTGTGGCCCACCCTAATCCAATATGACCTCGTCTTAACTTGATCACATCTGCAAAGACCCTATTTCCAAATAAAGTCACATTCACAGGTACCAGGAGTTAGGACTTTAAAATATTATTGTTCAACCCTGTACAATGAGTTATTCCAATAGTTTTTAACTATGATGGAAGTTGCTTATTATAGGAGAACTTAGAAGTGAGTACCATGGCAAGTCACAGTGGCTCACGTCTGTGATCCTGTCATTTTGGGAGGCCCTGGCAGGAGGATCACTTGCGGCCAGGAGTTTGAGACCAGCCTGAACAAGAGCGAGACCACACCTGTGAAAAATAGAAAAATTAGCTAGGTGTTTTGGTGTGTGCCTGTAGTCCTATAGTCCCAGCCCCTTGGGAGGCTGAGGCAGGAGGATGGCATAAGCCCAAGAGTCTGAGGTTGCAGTGAGGTATGATGATGCCACTGCACTATAGCCTGGGAGACAAAGCAAGATGCTGTCTCAAAAAAAAAAAAAAAAATGAATATCATCAAACATCTTTGTATTATGAATCTAATACCCCCCAATTTTTGTTAATTTCTCTGAAACTTTTATTTTCCAATTTTTTCATGGTGTTAAAATAATATTATAATATTCCAAAAGTCAACTTGTAGAAAATCCCTCTTGGGGCTTGTGGGCATTTGTAGAAAGGAAGATGTGTTTATTTTATCAAGTCTTGTGCTTAGCAAGACATGGCTCCACTTACAATTCTGGCACTAGAAGGAGCTATTGACTAGGTCTTGAGAAATACAGTCACCTCAGAATCCAAGATGGGCTACTTTTTGAAAGATGCAGCTCTTTATTAATAAATCCATATCCAGACACTATATTACCTATTGTGGTAGGAATTATAATCCAAAGCCACAAATTCAGATATGGAAAAAGTTTGTTTCTCTTAATGAGGCTTCATTTTTATCCCAACACTCCA